GTCTGATCCACTCCAGGATTTACACTGCTCTCAGACACACTCCCACTGCACAGCAGTCTGATCCACTCCAGGATTTACACTGCTCTCAGACACAATCCCACTGCACAGCAGTCTGATCCGCTCCAGGATTTACACTGCTCTCAGACACACTCCCACTGCACAGCGGTCTGATCCACTCCAGGTCTTACACTGCTCTCAGACAGACTCTCACTCCACAGTGGTCTGATCCATTTGAAGCTTTATAATGACTGCATAGAACTTTGATCCACTCCAGGTCTTACCAGATACAGTGTCATCCACGTACTAGAAACTGAATAAAACGTACCTGTCTGGACTCCACAGCCACTAAGAGACCAGTCATCACCATCATCATCAGGGTCTTCATCTCCATGTTGCTCTGTTGAGCTGGGTCACCTGGAAACGCGTGAAGAAGTGTTAATTGAATATACTGCAACTGTTACAGACAGGAGCCACAGTTCCCACGAGGACCTGCTGCAGGAAGATGCCACATTTGCCCGGGCAGTTTTCCCATGGGCGTGTGAGGAATGATGGTCCACTGAGAATCGGAGTTGGCAGAGGGTGTGGGTACATATTGCACATCTGGCCTGTTGGGTAGTCAGTATTAAATTGATCCCAGGATCTCGTCCAGCTGTTTCTTGAAAGAAGCCAGTGTGTCAGCTTTAACAAAATGGCTGGGCAGCTTGTTTCACATTCCCACCACCCTTTGTGTAAAGAAGTGTCTCCTGTTCGCAGTTTTATTGCACTTTCCTGTAGTCCCCACTGTTTCTTGTCTTGGAGATTGAAGAACAACCCCCCTGCTGGTTTTCTGTCGGGTCAGGAGGAAGTGTGATTGCTCTCTGGCTCAGGTGTGGGCTGAGCCAGGCAGGCAGCTCTGGGTGTGTAAATAGGCCACAGTGACACCACAAAAGTACAGATAGGAATATGTGTCCAGAGTCTCCACTAGGGTGCTTGAAAGCTAATTTGATGGCTGTGGCTTGTTTTCAAGTAGATTATTCCTGCATTCCTACTATATATACTGTATATTTATGCTTTTGCTGATAAGAGAGCAAGCTCTTACAAAGACTAGACTCAGGGCAGCAAAGGAAAATCAGGCTTTAAAGTATTTATGCCAGTAAGTGTTTAATTGATCCCAGGATGTCAGCCTGAAAAGCCCGTGGGCGGCCATGCCATGGCCTGGGCACTGCTGCTTTCTGTGCCACTGACATCACAGCCTTCTTCTCCACACAGGCCAAGACAAGGGGCGGCTGCCACCACTGCAGGACACGCCCACCTCTGCCACACTGTCTGCAGTCATGCTACTGACTGGATGTCAGACGATCCACGCTGACAGGCTGAAGGAACTGAGTCTCTTTAGTCTGAAGGGAGTGTCCCGCACTGACAGGCTGAAGGAACTGAGTCTCTTTAGTCCTGAACAGAGAGAGTTATGATCTGATTTAAGGCCTTGACAGTGGAACAAGCTACCCTGCCTTGTCATTGAAGATGACATGCTGCCTTGTTTCAAGAACAACCTGATCTCATTAGTAAATGAACAAGTAATAGGTTTATTCCATGCTGAAAAAAGAAGAACGAAAACACAAAGTTCCCACCTCACACCTAAAGAAGGCTCCACAGCTGAAAAACGTGTTTTCTTTCTTCTTTTTTTCAGCATGGAATAAACCTATTACTTGTTCCTTTGCAGCTACACATGCTGACGCAGCTACCCACCTGAACTACTCATTAGTAAATACACTACAAAGAGTTTCTGCTTGTTTGGAATACCAGGAACATGTATGTAAGTTTGTGCCTGCTCATGTGCTCATTTGTGTGTTTGTTTTAAAGTACAGTTCTTAATTAAGTAGTATTTTCTTTACTGGATCATACATATTTTGACCTTTGTGCAGGTTTTCATTAACTGTGGTTTAGGGCTCATTTGTAGAATGAACCTGGAGAACTGGAGCATGTCTGCACTCCCCTGTGGACCCTGTCATTAGCAGCTGTTAACAAACATGAGCTACTGTCCCTTAACCACACACCCCTAGAATGCTGCTCAGTATCAGAACTGATTTGTTGACAAGGTCTGGTCCAATCAAGGTCCAAATCAGAAAAAGAGACCTCAGAATTAAGCTAGATCTCAATCTCATTACTCTTACTCTCGGAGAGCAGGAGTCAGGTGAGTTTGATCTCAGTCTTGTTACTCTCAGAGAGCAGGAGTCGGGTGAGTTTGATCTCAGTCTTGTTACTCTCAGAGAGCAGGAGTCGGGCGAGTTTGATCTCAGTCTCGTTACTCTTACTCTCGGAGAGCAAGAATCGGGTGAGTTTGATCTCAGTCTCGTTACTCTTACTCTCTGAGAGCAGGAGTCGGTGAGTTTGATCTCAGTCTTGTTACTCTTACTCTC